AACTCGACGAGTTCTTACAAGAGAACCTAGCCAGCGGACGAATCAGGCCATCAAAATCACCCATGGCATCGGCATTCTTCTTTGTCAAGAAGAAGGATGGCTCGCTACGGCCTGTTCAAGATTACCGGAAGCTGAATGAGATGACGATCCGAAATCGGTACCCGCTACCGCTGATTTCCGAACTGGTCCACAACCTGTGCGGCGCCAAGTTCTTCACCAAGCTAGACATCCGGTGGGGATACAACAACGTACGGATCAAAGAGGGCGATGAGTGGAAGGCTGCGTTTCGCACAAACCGCGGACTTTACGAGCCCTTGGTTATGTTCTTTGGTCTCACAAATTCCCCGGCAACTTTCCAAAACATGATGAACAACATACTCCGGGAACTGATCAACGAGGGACATGTGGTAGTTTATCTGGACGACATACTAATCTTCACAGAAAATCTGGATGAACATCGACGAGTCACCAAACGGGTACTCGAGTTGCTCCAAAAGCACAAATTATACCTGAAGCCGGAAAAGTGCGAGTTCGAACGCACGGAAATCGAATACCTGGGTGTAATCATTGGACACAACTCGATGCGGATGGACCCTGTCAAGATCAAGGGCGTGATGGAATGGCCGGAACCAAAGAGCGTCAAACAAGTCCAAGCCTTCCTCGGATTCACAAACTTCTATCGACGTTTCGTTCGGGGATATGCGGAGGTCGCCAAGCCGTTGACGCGGCTGACAGGGAAGGCAGGATGGTCATGGGGTCCGGATGAACATGCGGCGTTTGATGGGTTAAAGAAGAGAATCGCGGAGGATGCCGTCTTAGCACTGCCAAATGACACTGGCCAATATTGTCTGGAAGCCGATGCTTCGGAAGGGGCAACAGGATCAGTTTTGAGCCAAAACCAAGACGGCATTTGGCGCCCAATCGCATTTATTTCGCACGCATTGACCGAAACCGAGCGAAATTATGAGATCTACGACAAGGAGATGCTCGCAATCATGTTATCACTTGACGAATGGAGGCAGTTGCTCCTGGGAGCCACGGAAACGTTCGAGATCTTCACCGATCATCAGAATCTCGAGTACTTTCGGAAGCCGCAGAAGCTCAATCGACGGCAAGCACGATGGATCACGGAGTTGGCGGAGTTCGATTTCACCTTACGACACTGACCCGGCGCACTCAACCGCAAGGCGGACCTCCTGTCCCGACGAGCAGATCACGATCAGGGCAAGAACGACAACAAGGACGTCACGCTACTGAAGCCCGAGTTCTTCCGATCACAAGAAGCCACATTCGAGGGACAGGATCAGCAGCTAATCGACGAAATCAAGGCCATTCGATCAATTGATGGAAGCGTCAAGGCGGCCTTAGAGAAGTCACTCGCCGGATGGAAGAAGGAAGAGGGGCTTATCACGTACCATGGGAAGCTCTACGTACCAAGGGACGAGGAGTTGCGGGACAAAATCATCGGACTACACCACGACACCCCTTTGGTCGGACACGCCGGGATCAACCGAACGCAGGAGATGGTGGAAAGGAACTACTGGTGGCCAAGGATGGGAAACCAAATTCGGAAATACATCCAGACGTGCGAAGCGTGCCAGCGGACCAAGACCAGAAGAGCCAGGACAGGGAGTTTGCACCCGCATGCAGTTCCAAACGCGCCGTGGGAAATCATCTCCATGGATCAGATCGGACCCCTGCCGGTCAGTAACGGGTATGACGCAATTCATGTGTGGTGTGACACCTTCACCAAAATGATCCATGTCGAACCAATTAGTACTGACATCAGCAGCGAAGGAGTAGCACGATTAACCAGGGACCGAATCTTCCGCTATCACGGGGTCCCCCGCAAAATCATCACTGACAGGGACTCTCGATACATCAAGGGCTTTATGAAGGAAACGAATCGGATGTTGGGCGTGGAAATGAATCCGGGGACCGCATATCACCCCATCACGGATGGGCAGACGGAGCGTATGAATCAGGAGATCGAACACTATCTCCGCATTTACGTCAACTACCATCAGACGGACTGGTCGGAGTGGCTGGGAATGGCGGAGTTCGCATACAACGACAAAATGAACACGTCTACCAAAATGTCGCCGTTCTATGCTAATCACGGATATTACCCATGGAAGGGAGTGGAGCAGCGGATGGAATCAAGGAACGAGTCGGCGGAGGAATTTGTAAAAAGAATCAAAGAAATACAAGACGAAGCAAAAGCAGCATTGGAAAAAGCAAAAGAAAAAATGAAAAAATACTACGATAAACAAAGAAAAGAAGTTCCGGAGTTGAAGGTTGGGATGAAGGTGTACATAGAAGGGGAAAATATCGAGACGGATAGACCATCAAAGAAGATGAGCGACAAGAGATTGGGACCATACGAGATACTGGAGAAGGTTGGAGCGGCCGCATGGAAGCTGGATTTGCCGAACACGGACCGAAGACACCCGGTGTTCAACGAGTCACTGTTGACACCCTATCACGAACCACCCCCCCATCGCCGAGAGAAGAGACCCGTGGCCAAGATGATCGGAGGAGCAGAGGAGTGGGAAGTCGAAGAAATCGTGAAAGAGCGAAAAGTCGGCCGAGGAAAACAGTACTTGGTCAAATGGAAGGGATGGCCACACAGCGAGAACACCTGGGAACCATCACGTCACCTTACCCACGCAAAGGACGTCCTGAGAGACTGGCAGAGGAAACAATCAAATCCAGACACACGCATTCGCCTCCTGCCAACGCTCGAAGCTGGACACTGGGACTATCTCATTCATCGCTACCAGCCCAGGGACGAGCGCCTTCCATACCCCCAACGACAGCTCTTCGACCCTTACGAGAACGTCTTCTTACCCATTGGCCTGGTCGATGAGGACATCGACCCTAGAGAGGGGGTAATGTCATAGTTCGGCCACTTTTTCATCTTATCATCAACGATCTTATCCTATCTTGGCACAACTTATCTTATCACGGATCACGGCATCAGACGGTCCGGACTAGGGGTTTCAGGGATTATCTTCATCGATTCGAGGCTGCGCGACATATGCTCCAGAAGGTTCTACTACGACTCATGACCAGCGTTCCATGCGGTACATAGCCCTATGACTCATTAGTTGTAGATATGACTCAGACTGGATTTGGGTATAAATACTGTAGCTACTTGGTTGTATTCTCCAGTCTTCGAATTCACTTCTCTTTTCGACTTCACTTTGGGTTGATTGTCACAGCCCGGTCGCGACAAGTTGCTCCCTGAGCACTTGTAGCTACTGTGATTTGAGTTTGAGTTTTGAGACATCAGAAAGTCGGATTCACCGCATCTGGTTTGGTCACGGCATTTAGTGTCGTCGCCTTCGGGCTTTGTTGAGATCGTTTCCACACCTCTAGCTTGGCAGTGCATTGACTAGTTGTGCTCGGGTAGTTTTGGTCAGTTGGCAGTGCGTCGACTTGAGAACTTTGGTTCCACACTTCTTGCTTGGCAGTGTGTTGACAAGTTGTGCTTGGGTTTTGGACATTGGATATTGGCTGTTAGTTGGCAGTGCGTTGATGCGGCATTTTGGTTTTACTACTTGGCAGTGCGTCGACTCAGTATATTGGTTGTATCGGTTGGCAGTGCGTCGACTTGATATTTGGGACTTTGTGTCGCCATCTGGACGCTGTCGCTACAAAGGATCTTAATACTTTGTATTAAGCTCTGACTTGTGATATTGTTGGTTGTGGATTGGATTAGTGTTGGTTTTGGTCGTATAGAAGATATTGGTTGAGACACCACTGTTTGCTATATATAAATTCTTGTTGTCGACTTCGTCTTCCGTGACTATTGGATCTGCGTCTATTGAGAGTTGTGATACTGGTGCTCTGTCCACCCCGAAGCCCTTGCATCTTTCACACACTGAGAAGCTGAGTACAAGGAGTGTGAACGTGTTTATATTTGGGTTTACTTCATAGTAGATTCACCTGTGAGCACGCCCTCAGCATTTCACCGGCACGAGCTGCGCTGCCTCAAGATGGGCAATGAACTAGAAGCAGCACAACTTCGATGGCTTCCAGGGGCTGAAGGCAGGGGTCACATCAAAGAACTTCCTGGAGGAGCTTCAGATGGTTTTTGCGGACTCCAATGCGGAACAAGTCGCCGCTGCTCAACTCATGGCCCTGCGCCAAAACAAATGATCCTTTGCGGACCACATCTCCGACTTCGAGATGTTGGCTGCGGAGGCAGGATACAATGTGGTCAATACCACCGACGACAAGGGCAAGTACAAGAAGGGGGACCAAGACAATATCCTCATCAAGTTCCTGGAGCGCGGACTCAGTAGTGAGATTGTCAGCCATCTCTACAACACTGGTGTCCCTCTGCCCAAGACCTATGGGGCGTTCAAAGCCTGGTGCATCAACATCGAAGCCAATGCTCTACACGACCAGCTATGCAAGGCATCTTACGGGCATCCCATGCCGCGACCACCCCCCCAATTCCGCCCTCAGGCTGCATCAGCGGCACCTGCACCTGCTCCGGCCCGACCGGCGGCCAATGAACCGGTTCTGATGGAGATTGATCATACCAATGCACACGGCCACAACATCATCTGCTACAACTGTCAGCAGCCTGGGCACATTGCGCGGAACTGTCCGGAGCCAAAGAAGAAGCGCATGTTCTTCAATTGGGCCACAATGCTAGAAGAGATCGAGAACGGGGACAAGGACAATGAGTTCCTCAAGGAGATCGCTGAGAAGCTGCACGAGAAGGGTTTTTGAAGCGCTCCACTCCTCTAGCCAAGGAGGTGGAGCGTCCGGACTATGGACGTTTTTCTATACTTGTTTCTATTAAAGATATGGACAATATTTCACCTTTATACACGATCTCCGACTCACTACGTACGAATATTCATGATTTTCTGATTGCTGATATGGAAAAAGAACGACAAATAAAGATAGCTTTAAATAAAAAGTATATACAAGATGAAAAGGATCAGAAGACTGCGGACAAATTATTAGACTCTTACATATTTATGGCTCGTGGAGAAGAAACCACGTCAACAAAGACTGAAAAGGGGAGCACTGCTCCAAAGGCTCAATCCTTGGAAAAGGAGGAAGCGCCTAAGGAATCGACGGAAATCACGGTTCCAGAAGCACCCAGGCGCACAAGGGTGCCAGACGCTGTTCAGAGGAGATCAGCGGCCAAGAAACAGAAGGGCCCTCAACCCAGTAGGTTGGCGCAGGAGTTGCGCAACTACCAGGCAGAGAGGAAGAGGCATTCGATGGACGTATATGTCCAGATCACAGGCCTGGACTCAGGGAGGACGCGTGGGGTCAAGGCACTGCTCGACAGTGGTTGCAGTACCTGTTGCATTGACACTGACTACACACGGGCAGAAAGATTGGATATCCAGGAACTCCCCCAACCCATCATGGCCCGTAACGCCAACAACACCAAGAACGCCAGTGGCCGGATCACACACTATGTCGATTTGAGGATGAGAATTGGCCCTCACAAGGAAACACCCCCGTTCCTCCTGACATGCCTGGGTAAAGCGCGGATCTTTATCGGCCTTGATTGGTTGATGGAGCATAACCCCGAGGTGGACTGGCGGGAGCAGACAATGAAATTTAGCCAATGCCCGGAACGGTGCAACATGAGGGGTCACGAGGAGCATCAGACAATGATAGATATGGACTCAGTTGACCTGGTCACATGTGCATCGGAGTTGGAGGAAGGAGAATCAATCCTATTGGTTGACTTTGGGAAGGAGGTTGATCTATGGCTAGAGGAAACGCCGGTGCAGAAGTTTGCAGAAGAAGCGGGAAAGGGGAAGGAGAGAATGACCAAAGGGAAGGTTCCGGATCAATACCGGGAATTCATCAAGGTGTTTGCAAAAGAATTGTTTGACTCACTGCCAGACAGACGCACATGGGACCACACAATTGAACTCAAACCTGTTTCCAAAGCAGTGGACTGCAAGGTGTACCTGTTATCACGAAACGAACAGGTCAAACACAACAAGTTCTTACACGAGAACCTGGCCAGCAGACGGATCAGGCCATCAAAATCACCCATGGCATGAGCGTTCTTCTTTGTCAAGAAGAAGGATGGCTTGCTACATCCCGTCCAAGATTATCGGAAGTTGAACAAGATCACGATCCGAAATTGATACCCGCTGCCGCTGATCTCTGAACTGGTCCATAATCTATGCGGCACAAAGTTCTTCACAAAGCTAGACATCCGGTGGGGATACAATAACATACAGATCAAAGAGGGCGACAAGTGGAAGGCTGCATTCCGCACGAACCGTGGACTTTACAAGCCCTTGCTTATGTTCTTTGGTCTCACAAATTCCCCAGCAACCTTTCAAAACATGATGAACAACATACTCCAGGAACTGATCAACGAGGGTCACGTGGTGGTCTATCTGGACAATATACTGATCTTCACAGAAAATCTGGATGAACATTGACAAATCACCAAACGGGTACTCGAGTTGCTCCAAAGGCATAAACTGTACCTGAAGCCGGAAAAGTGCAAGTTCAAACGCACAGAGATCGAGTATCTGGGTGTAATCATTGGACACAACTCGATGCGGATGGACCCTGTCAAGATCAAGGGTGTGATGGAATGGCCGGAACCAAAGAGCGTCAAACAAGTCCAAGCTTTCCTCGGATTCACAAACTTCTATTGACACTTTGTTCGGGGATATGCGGAGGTGGCCAAACTGTTAACATGGTTGACAGGGAAGGCAGGATGGTCATGGGGTACGGATGAGCGTGCGGCATTTGATGGATTGAAGAAGAGAATCGCAGAGGATGCGGTTTTAGCACTGCCAAATGACACTGGCCACTATCGTCTGGAAGCCGATGCTTTGGAAGGGGCAACAGGATCTGTTTTGAGCCAAAACCAAGACGGCATTTGGTGCCCAATCACGTTTATTTCACATGTGTCAGGGGAACCCCCTCTTCTGATCAATCAGCTTGGGATCTGGCATGCGATTGCGCTCGCGTAACCTGTCAGCTGTCACGTACCGTGGCCCGGACTGCCGCGCCGAGCACTTCTCTCTGATGGGCACATGGTCAGGTGTCCCATTGTTCCCACTGTCTCGGTTTCCTATTGTTCTCCAACGGCCATTGTACTTACTGTTCCCATTGTTCTTTGTTTGTCGCTGCGCGCTCTATTGTTCTTGTATCATATAAATAGTGGTGCCTGGCAAGGAGAATCCCCAACACACTTTCTCTTTGGATTCTCCCTTGCCAGGTATGCCGGTCTTGTACCTAGCTACCACTATTGACACTTTGGATTCTCCCTTGCCAGAACTCTGAGATCGAGTCTCAAGGTTGCCCTTACAACACGCATTGACTGAAACCAAGCAAAACTATGAGATCTACAACAAGGAAATGCTTGCAATCATGCTATCATTGGACGAATGGAGGCAGCTACTACTGGGAGCCACGGAAACATTTGAGATCTTCACTGATCATCAAAATCTCAAGTACTTCCGGAAGCTGCAGAAACTCAACCAATGGCAAGCACGATGGATCACAGAGTTGGCGGAGTTTGATTTCACCTTACAACACCAGCCCGGCGCACTCAACCGCAAGGCGGATCTCTTATCTCAACAAGCAGATCATGATCAGGGCAAGAACAACAACAAGGACGTTACCCTGCTGAAGTGTAAGGGCAACCTCGAGACCCGATCTCAGAGTTCTGGCAAGGGAGAATCCAAAGGTGATTAATAGTGGTAGCTAGGTACAAGACTGGCATACCTGGCAAGGGAGAATCCAAAGAGAAACCGTGTTGGGGATTCTCCTTGCCAGGCGCCACTATTTATATGATACAAGAACAATGGAGCGCGCAGCAACAAACAAAGAACAATGGGGACAATAAGTACAACGGCCATGACAGAACAATGGGAGCGGGGACAATAGGAACAATGGGGCACCTGGCCATGTGCCCATTAAGGAGAAGCGCTCGGCGCGGCAGTCCGGGCCGCGGCACGTGACAGCTGACAGGTCACGCGAGCGCAATCACATGCCTGATCGAAGGCAGAGCAGTCCGAAACGGGGGTTCCCCTGACATGAAGCCCAAATTCTTCTGATCACAAGAAGTCATATTCAAGGGGCAAGATCAGCAGCTGATCGACAAGATCAAGGCCATTTGATCAATTGATGGAAGCGTCAAGGCGGCCTTGGAAAAAGGAAAATGGGCTCATCACGTATCATGGGAAGCTCTATGTACCAAGAGACGAGGAGTTGTGGGACAAGATCATTAGACTACACCACAACACACCTTTGGTCGGACATGCTGGGATCAACCGAACGCAGGAGATGGTGGAAAGGAACTACTGGTGGCCAAGGATGGGAAACCAAATTTGGAAATACATCCAGACGTGCGAGGCGTGCCAACGGACCAAGACCAGAAGAGCAAGGACGGGGACTCTGCACCCGCATACAGTTCCAAACGCACTGTGGGAAATCATCTCCATGGATCAAATTGGACCCTTGCCGGTCAGTAACAGGTATGATGCAATTCACCTGTGGTGTGACACCTTCACCAAAATGATCCATGTCGAACCAATTAGTACTGACATCAGCAGCGAAGGAGTGGCACGATTAACCAGGGACCGAGTCTTCCGCTACCACGGGATCCCTCGCAAGATCATCACCAACAGGGATTCGCGCTACATCAAGGGCTTCATGAGGGAGACGAATCGGATGTTGGGCGTGGAAATGAATCCGGGGACCGCATATCACCCGATCACGGATGGGCAGACAGAACGCATGAATCAGGTGATTGAACATTATCTCCGCATCTACGTCAATTACCATCAGATGGACTGGTCGGAGTGGCTGGGAATGGCGGAGTTCGCATATAACGATAAAATGAACACATCTACCAAAATATCGCCATTCTATGCGAATCACGGATATCACCCATGGAAGGGAGTGGAGCAACGGATGGAGTCAAGGAACGAGTCGGCGGAGGAATTTGTAAAAAGAATCAAAGAAATACAAGACGAAGCAAAAGCAGCACTAGAAAAAGCAAAAGAAAAAATGAAAAAATACTACGATAAACAAAGAAAAGAAGTTCTGGAGTTGAAGGTTGGGATGAAGGTGTACATAGAAGGGGAAAATATCGAGACGGATCGACCATCAAAGAAGATGAGCGACAAGAGACTAGGACCATACAAGATACTGGAGAAGGTTGGAGCGGCCGCATGGAAGCTGGATTTGCCGGACACAGACCGAAGACACCCGGTGTTCAACGAGTCACTATTGACACCATATCACGAACCGCCCCCCCATCGCCGAGAGAAGATGCCCGTAGCCAAGATGATTGGAGGAGCAGAGGAGTGGGAAGTCGAAGAGATTGTGAAAGAGCGAAACGTTGGCCGAGGAAAACAGTACTTGGTCAAATGGAAGGGTTGGCCACACAGCGAGAACACCTGGGAACCATCACGTCACCTTACCCACGCAAAGGACGTCCTGAGAGACTGGCAGAGGAAACAATCAAATCCAGACACACGCATTTGCCTCCTGCCAACGCTCGAAGCTGGACACTGGGACTATCTCATTCATCGCTACCAGCCCAGGGACGAGCGCCTTCCATATCCCCAGCGACAACTCTTCGATCCCTACGAGAACGTCTTCACGCCCATTGGCTTAGTTGATGAGGACATCGACCCTAGAGAGGGGGTAATGTCATAATTCGACACTTTTTCATCTTCTCCTCGACGATCTTATCTTATCTCGGCACGGATTATCTTATCACGGATCATGGCATCAGAGGGTCCGGGCTAGGGGAACAGGAGTCATCTTTATTGATTCAAGGCTGCGCGACATATGCCCCAGAAGGTTCTACTACAACCCATGACCAGTGTTCCATGCGGTACGTAGCCCTATGACTCATTAGTTGTAGATATGACTCAGACTGGATTTGGGTATAAATACTGTAGCTACTTGGTTGTATTCTCCAGTCTTTGAATTCACTTCTCTTTTCGACTTTATTTTTGGGTTGATTGTCACACCTTGGCACGCTTCGGATTGCGACGGGGAGCGGGAATGTCCACGGGATCAGCCTTGCGCTTCTTCCCACTGGCCTTGTTGACAGCAGGCGGGGGTAAGGCAGGCTGCGGCATGGGAGACGACGCTGCGTCAGTGACGGGAGGTGCGACAAGGGGTGCGGCGGGGGGTGCGGCGGGGGGTGCAGCAAGGGGTGCAGCAAGGGGTGCGGCGGGGAGGTGACCACGGCGCTTGCGCATTGGTGAGCTCAATACAACAGGAGCAGCCCCAGGTGCATGCAAAGCCGGTTGGGAGACCACAGGAAGAGCGTAGTCCCCGGCTTTGTTCTTCACCACGATGCTGAAGTCCAAGTATTGTCGCGTTGGGTCTGGGTCCAAGAGGTTCAGCCTGAAGTAGCACGGGTCCCCCTGTCCAGTCACCCCGAGAACAAACTCGGAACCACTGAAAGCAATGGTTGTTCCAACGCGCTGGGGGAATGCAGCGAGCACGGGCATTCCTGGAATGAAGGTCAATTCGTTGATAGGCTGGCTACCAGACACGCTCTGCACCAGCTCTGTAAGGGCGTATTTTGCGCTTTTTACAGAGTTTACTCTCGAACCATTCGGTGTATCGTGTCACGGTTGACAGTGTTGCGCTCAGTAGGGCTTAAGGGTCTACTGCCCAGTCGACGACTGT